TAGTGCTATTGTGCCTTAATCGAAGATTAAAACGCGAAATTATACGATTCTCGAACTAAAATACCCGTATCGGCCCGTTTTAAGGAATCCCGAGTCAATCCAAGCACGTCGCCTCGAATTGCCTATCCTCTTTGTGGCGGCCATATTACAGAAACATATTTAAACTTCATGATTAGGCTGATGGCTTTGCCAAAGCCTTAATAAATAAAAAAAAAAAAAAAATTATAATTAATTTAATTGCACATTGACCGTTCACTAAGTAGGTAGTCTGTGCATTGACCGTAGGTCAAAGTTATGGCATGATATTTTTACAAATTCACTTTTTCATAGCGTTTGTGCTAACGAAATGTTGAAAAGGGCACCGCACCAATAAACAGAAGAAGAATTATAATAATCTACAACAGCCAACAATGTCGTACACGGACTTACAAGTTCATAGGAACGTTAAAGTGGAATCAAATGAGTTAGAAAACAGTCCTATGGGTTTACATGAGGTTTACATTAAAGAAGAGCCAGTTCGTATTGCGCAAGAAGAACAAAACATGAAAGATAAGCTGGATCTGTATGCAGATCATGAAATCAAGGAAGAAATAGTCATAGGACCTGTGGTGTTGCAGACTACTGATATAGCTCAGGCAAGATATGTGCAAAACACATCGGATGAATTGAATGTTGATACTCAATCACACAAGTGTGATATTTGCACCAAATGCTTTATGAGCACATGCCAACTTAAGTGTCATTTGAAGAGTCACAGAGAAAAACCGCACATATGTCACATTTGCAATAAATGTTTTACAGTAAATTCTCAACTTATAACTCATGCAATGGTCCATACTGGAGACAAACGGTTCAAGTGTGATATTTGCCATAAATGTTTAACAACAAAACAGGCTCTTAAGTATCATGTAATGACTCATACTGGAGAGAAACCGTTCAAGTGTAATATTTGCAATAAGTGTTTTACAACTAAATCTCAACTTATGCGTCATATAGTTTTCCATACTGGTGAGAAACCATATAAGTGTGATCACTGCAACAAAGTTTTTGCCTCTAAAGCAAATTGTAAAATACATATAAGATCCCATACTGGAGAGAAATCATACAAATGTGACCACTGTATTAAAGTGTTTGTCCATAAACCAAGTTATTCCATGCATTTAAAGACTCATACAGGAGAGAAACCTTACAAGTGTGATATTTGTAACAAATGTTTTATAAGAAAACAGGATCTTCAAATTCATATCATGGTCCATAATGGAGTAAAACCATATGTGTGTGATATTTGCAAGAAATGTTTTAGAACAAGTACTCAACTTAAGTATCATATAATGATCCATACTGGTGAGAAACCATACAAATGTCATATTTGCGAAAAAGGCTTTGTAAGAAATCATGAACTTAAGCGTCATATACTCATCCATCCGTAGTGGCGACCATAAACGTGTGACCACTATAATGAAGTTTTTGCACTAAAGCAAGTTGTAATATGCATTTAAGGACATATGAGATACTGGGGAGTAACCATACAAATGTAACCACTGTAGCTGAGTTTTTACCTCTAAATCATATTATTACACATTTAAAGACTCATACAAAAGTGAAACTATAAATATGACCATGATAACAAAGTTATTTGCTTATAATCTTATTTTCAAAAAATATTTAAGGAATCGTACCGGATACAATTAGAAAAAAATGAACTTATGTGCCAAATAAATGCTCACACTGGTGGGAAAATATCTTATTATAACTAACATTTAAACAACTACAGAAAAAGTAGGAATATCCACAAACAAATATTACAAATGACAAACATTTGTGCTATATAACAAGGACAAAGATCAAAAATTATTGATCCATAATTGTAACTGGGGTGAGTGACAAAAACATTTCAATAAAACCCGTTCAAGGAAAGAGCCGGAATGCAAAAATTTACAACATTTTGATGATAGTAAAGAGTAGCCAATTATCTGAAAATAATCACCATTTTACAGTAGACCATTCTGAAAGCAAAATCTTGAGAGAATAATATACATACATATATTCTGAATATCCTTCAGATATTTAATTATAGCTAAAAATTTTAGGTAATTCAGTCTGTTACATCAGAAAATATCAAGTTTTTATTTTCAAAATGCTCTACTGTGAAATCATGATTTAACTGGTTACTCTTTGCTGCTGTCGATTCACATTGTTAAATTGTTTATATAGAAAATCAAAGAGTGATATAAAACAGAAGGCTTCCCGATTTTAAGTTCAAAGTTAAGAATGCAAAAAACGTAGCATCTTTTGTGGCAAGATTCAAATAAATTTAGCACTCTTTAGTCCCCAGATGACTGATATTGGACTCCAACTTTCAAGATTGTTTATTCTCAAGTAAAATTAGTAATAATTTGTATAAAAAATGTAACATTAAAGTAATTAATTAATAAAAATCTTTTATTGTTATACAACACAGCAAATTCCATTTTTTGTTAGGGGTAATAACCTTATACTGTATTAGCCCATTAATGGACAATACTTGCATACGTACGTACATACATAATTAATACCGCACACATAAACATACTTTTCTTGCTTGTGTTGGTTTAATATAAAATATTGAATGTATGTTTGAATTTTACCAGGATGTTGTTGATAATTCTCTATGGAATAGCTATGGCAGTAGGCGGCAACAACACAGAAAGCAGTTGGAAATCGCAATATAATATAATGATATTTAATTTTACGGTAAATGCTGATACTGTAAATGAACAGGTCAGTAATCATTGAATATAGAGGCCATGAACACTGGAAATTAAATCTTCAAAATTTAAGTGTTAAAACAGCTAATTATTCAGATTTAAATGAATTGGGCTGAATCCAAGTATTAGTAATAGGTAAATACCTAAATATTAACAAATTTGCAAATAAAATCAAATCACATAGATATTCAAATAAACAAATGTAAAAGTTAAATTATCTTATGTATTCTAATAATTTACATGTTCTACACTGAATTTTGTTGAAACACCCAATAATAATAGAACTTTGAACGTGTTTTACATTATCTGGTTGTTAAATCCTAAATTGTTATTATTTATTTGTTTTGTTTCCTCCAGTTAAACCTATTATTTGTCTATAATCATTCATAATAAGCACGATATAAAAAAGCTTATTACTGTCAACTTTAAGTCACGTTTTACTATGTACAGTCAAGAGCACATCAAGCTTGACACATTAAACTTTGGACCGTTTTTATCGTAACCGCACGTAGTTGGATTTAAGTCTTAAGACTTAAATCAAGCTTCACATGCTCTTGACCCTGTACCTTGATATTAAATTATTTTTTTGTGAAAATGCTCCATTAAAGAGCCACAGTTACTTTTTATTCTTTGGCTGAGGTAATAATTGCGGTTGTGACGAAAAATACATTAACACATTATTACCATTCTTTTTGGCTGACCTCTGATTTGCGGAGCTCCGATTCTACGTCAATAGGTACTCTATTACATGTTTGTTAATGACTGACTTGGAAATTTAAGCTTGTTAGAAATAAATTAATAGGTAGGTAATTAAAACAAGTACACAATAACTGTGAGCATGGTACCTTGGTTTGAGATGAAAAGAGCCACTCGTCGCCTGCGCACTTCAATTAATAGAGTGATCAATGATCATGGCCGTATAAATGTTGACAGAATGTTCCTATAACAATAAAGCAATAAGCATTGAAAAGTTTTTGGGTTTTATGCTAATAAAGTCAAAGTCAATTAATCTTTTCAAAGTCAAATAATCTTTATTACATAGGTAAGCAAATTACACTTCAAATAGTCATACAACTACTCTCAATGAAAATAAAAAAGAGCATGTCAAGCTTTACACTTAAAAATTAAATCCAACTCTGCCGCTTGCGATAACAACAGTCCAAAGTACGAAGTGTCAAGCTTGACATGCTCTTGACTGTACATCTAGGCCTAAACAAGCACATAATCATTAAGCCCATACCTACATCACTGTTGGTGTTACGCCAAAGGTTCTTACAAACTTGCCCATCGTACTTTTTAGTAAAAAAAAATGTTATGACATTTATGTTCATCTTTTGTTGTATAACATTCATTACAAATATCACACGTGTACCGTTGCTCTCTAGTATGAGTCTTTAAATGCCTAATACAATTTGATTTAATAGCAAAAATTTTGTTACAGTAGTCACATTTATATGGTTTCTCACCAGTATGCACCTTTGTATGAGTTTTGAGCGCATGTTTTTTTGTAAAAGATTTATTGCAAATATGACATTTGTGTGGTTTCGGATTAGTATGAGCAATTACATGACATTTAAGCTGACTTTTTGTTATAAAACTTTTATTGCAAATATGACACTCATGCGGTTTCTCTCCAGTATGGATTTTTAAATGATTACAATAACTTGCTTTGCTGGCAAAAAAATTGTTACACTGATCACATTTGTATGGTTTTTCTCTAATATGGGTCATTATATGAAATTTAAGTGTCCGTTTTGTTTTAAAACATTTATTGCATGTATCACACTTATATGGTTTTACACCAGAATGGGTCCTTTTATGTTGCTTAAGATAAACTTTCATTGCAAAACATTTATTGCATGCATCACACTTGTATGGACGATTATCAACATTCACCCCATCAAGGGTGTTCTGCACACATCTTGCTTGATCTAAATCAGTAGGTTGCAACTCCACAGGTCCTATCACCAACTCTTCCTTGATTTCATGATCAGCATACATATCCAACTCCTTCTTAGTGTGTTCTACTGCAACCCCAACTTGCACACATTTTGCTTGAGCTGCAGCAGAAGGCTGCAACACCGTTGGACCTACAACCATCTCTCTTATCTCTTCACCAGAATGAGTCATTTTATGAGTTTTAAGTGTTTGTTTTCTGATAAAACATTTATTGCATATATCACACTTGTAAGGTTTTTCTCCATTATGGGTCATAATATGTAGCTTACCACATTTATATAGTTTCTCCACAGTATGAGTCCTTAAATGTGTAACAAAACTTACTATACTGCCAAAAAATTTGTCACAGTGATCACATTTGTATGGTTTTTGTCCAGTGTGGATCATCATGTGACTTTTAAGTTTCTGTTTTCTTGTAAAACATTTATTGCAAATATCACACTTGTATAAGCGAGTATCGACACTCAACCCATCAGGTGTTTTCTGCACTAATTTTTCTTGATCTAAATCAACAGGCTGTAACACTACAGGTTCTATGACCAACTTTTCCTTGATTTCATGATCTGCACACAGATCCAGCTGCTCTTTCTTGCTTTGTTCTTCTTCCACAACACCAACTGTCTCTTGTTTGATGTATACATTACTATACAAGTCCATGAGGCTGTTTTCTGATTCGCTTGCCTCCTCCTTAACGACATCTTTTAGGTCCGCGTATGACATTGTTGGCTGTTGTAGATAATTGAGGCGGCGTGTTTTCTAATATTTCGCCAGTAGTGTTAATTTTGTAAAATTAAAGCCCCTTTTTTAAAACAAGGCAAACGAATAGAGTAGCCGTCGCTTTTCGCCAATGTCATTGCACTGTCACTGTCAAATGTTAATTGCTTGTTAGTTTTTTTATGGCCCTGTTCAGGAAACAAATAATGATTTTGTGCTTGTTCTGCGTAAAACAGCCCATTCTTTACCTGCATGTCACGGCTTTTCGCCGCGCAGCCAGGAAACTGCTCACTAGCGATGCGCGATTGTGAATGTTATCGTTATTCGACTCGTTAGTAATCGCTAATTCTGTCATTCGAATGTCAAATTAGTAACCTGCTAATTTTCATATTCGAATCATTTGAATGATCATTCATTAATAATTATGAGTACCATCCATAGTAATTGCCTCCGTGGTCGAACGGTTACCATGCCGGAATACCACGCAGAGGTCCCAGGTTCGATTCCCGGGCCGGGAGAAATATTTGTATGGCCTACATTTATTTATCTCGCGAGTTTGGGTGTAATTTGTGGTTGTCTATGTGTGTGGCCATGGCATCCGCGACCCAGGGTTTCCCTAGTGCGGGGCTATGTTGAGTGTGTGCGTTATAGTATCCATAGATTCCATACACCGCATTTACACTATCGTGCTGACTATACACGAACGCTTCGTCGAAACAATCGACGAGACATTCGTGTTCACACATTCTTGCGATGTGAATAGCGATGCGATGCACGACACGCATATGTGAACGGTCACTTCGCTATTCGCGTCGCGACTCGCATCGCCACTAGAGATGGGTGATAAATAACGTCACGATGAAAAAATCACGGTGATCCGCCGTCAAACAGTATCACCGTGACTCATTCCGAAGGAACGACGTTCCAAAGTCACATAGGTGTTCCTCCGTTCCAATAACTATCCCCGTCACTCACATCACGACATACGTATTTGATACAATGCGCGATCTCCGTTCCGTGATGACTGAGCGCGCCACTCGTTGTAGTTCTCTTCAAATCGGGCCATTTCGGCGGTGGGAGTGAGTCAGATAGGATGACTTTCTTTGCTCACTCACAAGGGTCGTAGGTGCTTATTACTACTAGAAAGGGCGGATAAAAAAAAATCTGCAGCAGTTACTATAAATCTATTTATTAACAAAGTAAAATATTTTTGTATATTTGTTTTATTATAGGAAGAGTTGGTATTTTACATTTATGTATAATCTACTTTGTGTATTCTACTAGAAATATAATTACATTATACTTTATTGCTATTTTTAACAATCCAAAGATACGCATTAAATAAGTAACAAACAAAATTACATTAAATACAAAATCAACTTTTTCAATGGATTTGAAACTTATTACAAAGGGAGTTATAACTTATCATTCTATAAAAAACGGCTATAAGTATTAGAAAGCAGTGTTGGGCGTTAATCAATTAAATTTCAATCAATAATTCAATCAGATTAAAAAATCAATTCAATTGAAATCAATTGCAATTAAATCAATTGCGACGCGTCGCAATTGATTTAATTGCGATTGATTTTAATTGCAATTGATTTTAATTGCAATTGATTTCAATTGAATTGATTTTACTTGCAATTAAAATCAATTCCGGTCGGTTGGGGGCCCCGGTTGGGAACTCCGCTTGGGGGCCCCGGTTGGGGCCCCGGTTGGGGACCCGGTTGGGGGGCAGGTTGGGGGCCGCGTTGGTGGCCCGTTCGTGGGGCTCCGGTTTGGGGGCCCCGGTTTGGGGCCCCCGGTTTGGTGGCCCCGGTTGTGGGGCCGGTTGGGGGCCCGGTTGGAAGCCCCGGTTGGGGGGCCGGTTGGGGGCCCGGTTGGAGGCCCCGGTTTGGGGCCCACGGTTGGGGGCCCCGGTTTTGGAGCGCCGGTTTGGGTGTCCGGTTTGGGGGCCCCGGTTTGGGGCCCCCGGTTTGGGGGCCACGGTTTGGGGGCCCCGGTTTGGGGGTCCCGGTTGGGGTCCCGGTTTGGGGGCCCCGGTTGGGGGCCGCGGTTGGGTGGCTCGGTTGGGGACCTGGTTCGGAGCCATCAGGCCCCTTAACTGGCCCCTAACCGGGCCCTCAACCGGGGCCCCAACCGGGTCGCCCAACACGGGCCCCAACAGGGGCCCCAACCGGGACCCCCAACCGGGCGCCCCAACCGGGACCCCCAAACCGGACACCCAAACCGGCGCTCCAAAACCGGGGCCGCCAAAACGGGGCCCCCAAACAGGGTCCCCCAAACCGGGGCCCCCAAACCGGGGGGCCCAACCGGGGCCTCCAACCAGGGCCCCCAACTGGGGCTTCCAACCGGGCCCCCAACCGGCCCCCAACCGGGGCCCCCAACCGGGACTAACTCACCCCCATATAGCCCTATAAATTTATAATAATTGTCAGTTTTAATTGTTAATTGTTAATCAAAAACATTGAAAAGATTGAAAATTGATTAATTGTTAATTGTAGATATTTGCGATTAACGATTGATCAATTGTTAGTTGCGAGAACCGCAATTAACAATTGATTTATTGTTAATTGCGGTTCTCGCAACTAACAATTGATCAATCGTTAATTGCTGTTTCGCAATTAACAATTAATCAATTGTCAATCTTTAATTGCCAGAACAATTAAATTTTGCCCAACACTGTTAGAAAGAAGCCGCTGGCTAAAACCGTATATCGTGATGTAAGTTATAGGCGTGACAAGGTCACTGAAGAACGGTGATTTATCACCGTGATTTTTTGGAACCGGAACGACGGTCACGGCGATAGAAATGTAACGCTATTCTCCATGTCTAATCGCCACTCGTGCGATCGCGTCGTGAGCGGTATTTCGAGCACGAGTCAAAGGATATCAGTTTTTTTAAGGGTGTACTTTTTTTTTAGAGAAAAGTATACAAATTACAATCAATGGTAAATATAAACTATTGGTATTTCATGGCATGTATCCATACCATTTTCGTAAATATTTATACAATTCATTTTGATTAAAATGTATATAAATATTTACGAATATGGTATGGATACATGACATACCAAAAGTTTATATTTACCATTGATTGTAGTAAAAAAAAGTACACCTTTAAAAAAACTCGTGTCCTTTGACTCGTGCTCGAAATACCTCTCACGACGCGATCGCACAAGTGGCGATGCGAATAGCGAAGTGACCGTTCACACATGCGTATCGTGCATCGCATCGCTATTCGCATCGCCTATCGCACGAATGTGTGAACGCGTTTCAACCACTCTATACGAATATTTCGTCGATTATTTCGATGAAACATTCGTGTATAGCCAGCACGATAGTGTAAACGCGGAGTTACATAATGTTCTATTACATGTATGAATATATCTCCCTTTCAAATATACAGCCTATACATTAATTTATAACTTTAACCTTATTATATTTATAATACTTATCTATCAACTCTTGTGATCCATTTTTTCCAAATCCTGCGATTCTTCCAATTTTTTTCCATTATAATCATGTTCCCCTAACTTTTAACTTGACATTGGCAAAAAGTCAAAGCTCTATAGCCATTACATTACTCTTTGGTCCGCCACTTAGAGGATAGAAAAAATTCGCCACAAAATATTAAATAACTTATAAATGCGTCGCCTTTTCAAAAATTTCTATTCGTTTTACAGAATTGACACTGCACTGCACTGGCGAATCTTAGAAAAGGCACCGCCCCAATGAGTAAAAAGTAGATGAATGAAAAAAACAATGTCGTACACGGACTTACAAGATGTTATGAACATTAAGGAGGAGGCAAGTGAATTAGAAAACAACCCCATGGATTTACATTGGAATTTTTACATCAAACAAGAGCCAGTTGGTGTTGCGGAAGAAGAACAAAGGAAGAAAGAGGAGCCGGATCTGTATGCAGATCATGATATCACGGAAGAGTTGGTTATAGGACCTGTGGTGTTGCAGCCTACTTATTTAGCTCAAGCACAGTTTGTACAGAAAACATGTGATAGGTTGAATGTCGATACTCGCTCACACAAGTGTGATATTTGCAATAAATGTTTTACAAGAAAACAGACACTAAAAAGTCATATATTGACCCATTCTGGTGAAGAACCATACAAATGTGAACACTGTAAGAAATTTTTTGCCTATAAATCAAGTTTTGTTGCACATATGAAGACTCATTCTGGAGAGAAACCATATGAATGTGATCACTGTAAGAAATTTTTTACCTATAAAACAAATTATATTCGACATTTGATGACTCACTCTAGTGAGAAACCGTACAAATGTGATATTTGCCATAAACGTTTTACTAGAAATAAACACCTTGAGCAACATATAATGATCCATACTGGGGAAAAACCATACAAATGTGATCACTGTAACAAAGGATTTGCCCGTAAATCAAGTTATGTTTTACATTTAAAGACTCTCACTGTTGGAAAACCGTACAAGTGTGATATATGCAATAATAGTTTTACAAGAGAACTGACACTTAAAACTCATAAAATGATCCATTTTGGTGAAGAAGAGTACAAATGTGACCAGTGTAACAAACTTTTTGCCTATAAATCAAGTCTTGCTACACATTTAAAGACTCATACTGGAGAGAAGCCGTACAAGTGTGGTATATGCAATAAATGTTTTGCAAGAAATAAGAATCTTAAGCGTCATTTAATGCTCCATACTGGAGAAAAAACCGTACAAAATGTGAAATGTGAGTATTTGGCAGTAAAGCAAGTTCATTGTAAAAATGTAAAGACTCATACTGGTGAAACTGTAGGATTTTGATACCTGCAATAAAATGTTTTATGACAAAAAGTTGCCTTACATGTCTTGAAATTGCCCACACTAATCCGAAACCATACAAGTGTAGCATTGTGTCAAAGATTTTTCTCATAAATATGCTTTTTAATACACATTTAGGGTCGTATTCTAGAACTCTACTCAATGCTCAAGTCAGGATTGCACTGGAAATATGACCCTAATGGCAGGGACTTGAGTATGATTTCGAGTGCTTTAAACCATACTCAAATCCTGACTTGAGCATTGAGTAGAGTTCTAGAATACGACTCTTAGTGACTCAGCCTGGAGAGTACATGCGTGATAATTTTTTTTGAGTAAAAAGAAGGATTGACAAATCAATACCAGAAGTATTGATTAATGTAAGGGACATTTTGTCGAAAATGAGTTACGTAAATCATTGGATTCGGAAGTACCCGCTGTATCAATTGGTATTATTAAAATTTAGGAATGCCCAGTGGTTAAAAAACATAAAAAAAAGATGTACTTATACTTTACTTACGATACGTCTTATGTTACTAATATTTTTTGTGTTAACTGTTGAGCATAGTGTAAAGTGTAAGCAGGAAGAGAAATGGAAAATATACGTAATTCTCTTGTAAGGATCGTTTACAATAGAATTACGTATAATCTACCAACATAACATGTAAACATGTTTTTTTAATGTAAAGGTTGTTATATTTTAAACCACTGGGCATTCCTAAATCTTTCGTTTATAGCATAAAAGAAGAGGAAATTCTAAGGCTCAACTCGCACCGCACCGGCGCGGCGCAGAGTCGAAACGTCGCATTACGTCGTGTTTTTCAATTACAACGCCTGGCGACGCGCGACGACGCTCGCATTAGTGGACCCGGATCACAGTGTGGTCGGCGTCTGACGCGTCATTGACTCCGTATTTGCATAACACAAATTTGTACCTTAATAGTGGGAAAATGGAAATGAATATGCTATAGGCGAAAAACATGACGCGTCGCGACGCTTCGACTCTGCGCCAGTGTGAGTTGAGCCTATGAAAGATAGTAAAAGGTTATTAGACATTTAAAAAAATAAAATGTTTTTTGGCATTCGTGAAAAACCGTCGTTTGTCTCTTACATTAATTGATACTTCTGATATCGAAATTTATATGAAACTTGAGCGTAAGACCAACACTGATGTAACCAGGGCCAGTGTTTAGGACTCGATATAGCGATTATATTTTCAATTACTAATTGTATTTCAATTACTAATACTATCAATTTTGCTCCCGGGTTTGCTTGTTTATCATTTTTCAAATAGAGTTGCATAAAACCCAAAAACTCTACTATATACTTATGTGTATCGTTTCATTGTGAAAGGAGCATTCTGTTAACATTTCGCACAATACTTGTCATAACTCAAAATTGTGTAATTGAGAAAACAATATGAAAATTAAAAACACAATACAGAATGGATCATTTATAAACGAGAATATGTATTTATTATTTCGTTCAGTAATTTTTTGGTGGTGGTGTTCTTAGTTGAAGGGAAACTCTCGATCAGGGAATAAATCACATTTTATTTGGCCATTCGTCTTACTCAAGTATAATTTCTACTTACTTAACTAGTCGGTAAAATAATCGAGGCGACATCATGGCCGCGACGGCAGCGCCGCCTGCGCAGCGGTGGCTGTTGCTGGCCAGGAAACAAGTCGCAGCTGTTGTCGCAAGTCGTTGAATCGTCAGCAGTCGTCGGCGGACTACGGCGCGCACGTAAATATCGCGCCCGGAGTCCGCGCCGATCAGTGTGCAAAGAGTACATTGTTACATACTGTTCAGTGTGGACCAGAGCGCCCTGCGCGATGGACGTATGGTCATTGGTCATGCTCATATTCTTTCTCTGCTTTAC